GTGCATACTGTCTCTCTTCTCTTAACCGCACCATTCTGAGATTGTGCATCTCATTCCTGGGACCAGGGAGCCAGCAGTGACTGGTCTCTGGAGGTTGTGCCTAAAAAAGGCCTGCTCAGTTAACAGTCCCTTTAGAGACTTTAGGAGCGAGAGTTTGATCCTGGGAAACTTTCTATGCTAGAACATCTTGCTCCTTCAGATAGCCCACAAAGCCAGTAAGAATATGCCTTGGAGAAGATTTAATCATTCCTCAGCTGAGTGCTCCTCCAGTTCTCCCAGCTAGTTGAGAGATAAGGGTTAATGTGCTTTAAAAGAAGTATGAGAACAAATTTTCCCCCTTCTAGTATAGGTTGTGGAATCTAAGCCCTCAGCAGACATTATAACAAAATAGCACCTATGGTTCTCATCTCATTACCATTCATGCATAGGCTAATATTTATGGAGGACAATCTAATAGTAATAGGTAATATTTATTAAGCACTATTCTAAGTGCCTTATATCAACAAACTCATTTAATTTTCACATCAATCCATTACATGGGCACTATTATTCTCCTACTTTACAAATATGGAAATTGGGGAACAAAGAAATTAAGTCATTTACCCAACATTATACGGCTAGTAAGCTGTAGCTCCGGGATTAGAATACAGACCACCTGGCTCCAGAACCTTCACTCCTAAGCCACCACGCCTACATGAATACAGATCTGTAATGGAGAGAGCAATTATCTCCGGGGTCCACGGTTAGAGAGGCTGGAGCTAGTCCAGCATGAGCAGTCCTCTCCTCAAAGTGACAGCACACTCTGATATCCAAATAAGAATAGGTGGAATTTGCAGCTTAATATTAGAACCTTGCTGTGTAGTAGTTATGATCTGTTCAACAACTCGAAGGAAAGGAGGGTCTCTTTCCTGTTGAACAAGAAAGCTTCAAGTGATTCTGCACCAAATATCCTGACCCCATTGGGAGTCTAATTTTCCCTATCACAGATCATCCCCTTTTCTTATATAGAAGGCACATGGGGATACCACGTGATTTCTGTGTACCAAAAGATTTCTTAAAGAATGAAGTAAAATATTAATTTTGTTTGAGAGCCAATATTTCCCCACAAGACATTCCTGATATTCTCTGCAAGTTTTTTCTCCTTCTGTCCTGGATAATCAAAGAAACATACGGAGATGACTTTCCATGTGTGCTTTAACCAGTTTTCTATGACCTGCTTTCGTCCTGAAACAAGGTCTCGAATTTTCCAGAGGAAATTGCCACTAGAGACCAAAGGGGAAGGGATACGAGCGAATTCCCACCAGGATAATACAGAGCCCTACAAGTCTCCACAAAACTCCCATTTTGCTCAATAACTAAAGGCAAAACTCCCAGGAGCTCCGGAAGCAGCCATGTGTGCCCATTCTCTGTTCGCCCCACCAAAGGGTCACAAATCAGAATACTACACTCCGGTCAGAATGACTGGTCACTGTTTCCCCAAGTACAGGTTCATATCCAATAAGTGACCCCAGAGAGACAGAATGGCACAGTGTGAGAGCTTGTCACATTAAATGATCAGAAAACCATTACCAACTGATAGAACAGTTGATGGTGCAGAAATTACTGCAGACACTCCCTGCGGGCCTGCTCTGAGCTCCCGCCCAGGCGTTAAGTGGCTGCCGGGCTCCCCAGACTTGGGACTGGGACTTGAGGAGAAGAAAACTCTACTGAGGAGAGAGGGAAACTGTATATTCCCTCGAGTTCCTATAGCTCTTTGAAGTGGATAGTGGTGTTAGACTTCCCAGCCTGACTTCAGTTCCAATACACTTTTTAAAAATTATTTTTGGTGATAACCGTGCTTCTGTGAGATTTGGGATAGACCAAAAAGTTTAAGGTAAATTAAATCTTACTTTACTGGACTGGAGGGATTCTCTGCTTAAACACATTCTACAGTAGATTTTCTGATTTTTTTTTTTTTTTTGTGGAAGGGATGGAAAAGAAATTTTTTGATAAAGAGAAGAGTTACCCTGAATTTGTCTGATAGAAAACTTGCGGGGGCATATATCCAAATTCTTACATACTAATTGGAAGCTGAGTAAACCCTTTGTTCTACACCACTGCTACTCATCTGCTTTTACCTGCTCAGGTGTTCGCTCAGCCACTCCCAACATGAGTTGGCTGCTCTCTGCCTCAGTGACTGTATGTAAATTTCCACTGCTGTCTTTGGAGGCTAGCAAGGACCAGAGCCACTGAGACAGGGAGTGTGGACTGCAATCCCTTACAGGACAAGACTGGATCTAGGCATAGTGGAAGAGAAATGGCCTGAAAGGAGAGCNCTGACAGCTGGCTTTTGTTTCCATATACCTCTGGACCCACAGCATACCAGCCCCTCAAATATCTGATCTTGTGCCTTCGCCTCCATCCAGGTGTAGGAATTGTGAATCAGCTGAATAACCTCTATAAATGGCTGCTCTCTTACCATTGGGACTCTTCCACTACTGGATACTCCTAAAATTTTATTTCTGAGACCCTGTACTAACCTAAACAGGTTGCATGGTTACTGAAGATGTTAAAAAAAAAAAAAAAATCCCAGAAAAAGAAAAATGTCTCTAAATATATTTTAAGAACCCAAACTCTGGAGTCTGACTACCTGGGAGCTTATCACGGCACTGCTGTTTACTAGCTTTGTGACCTTAGGCAAGTTGCTTAACTTCTCTGTGCCTCAATTTCATCATCTGTCAAAAGGGGAGAGAAATTGTCCTTTCAACATAGGGTTGTTGGAAGGACTAGATGAGGTAATTTACATAAGGCATGCAAAGTGCTAAATCTAGCAAGAGGTCCAAAAACATCAGTATGTTTATACGACTAGAAATGCATTTGCCAAAATGTTAATAACGACAACCTCTAGATGTTAAAATAATGAGTGATTTTTTGTTTGTTTCTCTTTATGCTATTTCACGTGTTCTTCTCCCCTCCTTTATTTATTTATTTATTTTTGCATTAGAAACTAATTTGTGATTAGAAAATAAATGTCTTTGAAAAAAGAAGACCCAGCAAAGCTCCGAGGGTAATGTAATGATGCAGGTAAGGTGAGGAGGAAAAAGGAGTGGTGGCAAGGGGGCAGAGGATCAAGGGGAAGTTTAAGTTCAGGGATACACTCATGGGAGCCCTTGGGCTTGTAGGTCACCCCAGGTGAGGACTTGGAGGAGCAGTCTACGTACTTTTGAAGTGCTGGCCCAGCAGCCAGGAATATGTGCCTGGCTTATCCCATATGGCAGATGGCTCAGGCAGGTCTCACATGAATGACTTTCAGCTCCCATGTTCCTGCGGGTGGGCCCAAGGGCCAGGAAGGTACAGCCCATTTCTGCCAGCAATGCCAGCTAAGACTGTAGTGTTGACAAGGGGAAGGGCAGGTTTATCCTTGACCCTGATGGGCTCTCCAGACCTCTAAGGCAGGAGCTGGAGTCACCCTTCCTTCGTTTGCATGTGTGAGTAATTACAACTCATAAAAATATCTAACCCATTAGTTAAAACCAGCCCCAGCATTTGACTCTGACCTCCTATGGCAGCATGGGCCACACGCTGATTCCATGCCGCCTGATTTGTCCTCAATTTATAAGCAGCACAACCTATAAATAGAAATCCTTTTGCTAAGTTCCCCAGGAGGCATCAGCAGGTTTTCCAGCTTGTGTTTTCTTCTTCCTTTTTTAAAAAACCAACATGGTAGGCTTATTTTCCCTGCCTGGTGCTCCTCCAGCTTTCACCTCTAGTTTGGATGAGGGCATTCCAGCTGGCTTAGCAGTTGGGGTTGGCACTCCGGCAGGGTCTGCCCAGGTTGGGTTCTGACGGAAGCCCCTGTTTGGCCAGGGAGGTCCCCACTCACCTGTAGATCCTGTACCTGGTGGTGAAGCCCTGGCGGTAGCGCTCCATGAAGTCAGCGTACTCCTGAGCTCGGTGGAAGGGGCCCCGGTCTGTGAGCAGCCAGTCCAGGGGGTGCTGGCCGGCCGAGAAGGCATGCTGCTCGGGGGCCACATTGGCCACCATGGCCGAGACAGCCAACACCCAACTGGGCAGGCCCAATGCCAGCAGGGCTGCCCATGGTGCCACCCCTGGCTGAAGCCCTCTAAACTGAGTGCCACACTGCCACCTCATGCTTCTCCCGGGCGGTTGGTTTCTTCATTCTCTCGCCACGCTCTCCCACTCTGTGCCGCTCCTCTTGGGCTCTGGAACTAGAAAAGGACACATGGCGATGTCAGTTCGGCACCCTGGTCTTACCCCATAGGCCTGTGAGCATTGAATATAATTGAGCAGAGCTCATTCTGCAAACCCTTCATCCTGGAAACACAGCTTGGTTCTAGGCATCGAGCTATGCACTCAATATATGTCATTTCATTCAGTCCTTTAAAATAAACCTAGGAGGAAACATTACTGTCATCATGTTACAGATGAGAAGATGGGGCTTAGAGATATCAAGAAAGTTGCTTAAGTTCCACAGCTATTAAGTGGTAAAACCAGAATGTGAACTCTTAGCCCCTATGTTATATTACTTCCTGTTTCCTCCCTCAACTCACTCAACATCATCCATTTCTGTCTTCCTCTCTCAAAAATGTTCAATTCATTTCTGTAACCGCCTCATATGCAGTGTGCAGCCTCTAGAAGCTTCATGTGAGGCAAGTAGCAACCTTTCTTTTCAGATGGAAAATTGTGGGCAGAAAAGCAGTGAAGTCCCATTGCTTCTGTGAAGCTGGGTGAACTTGGACAAATCACTTTCCTATCTGGGATTGGTGTAGCCTATAGAAAATGAAGAGGCTTAACCAGGTAATATCCAAGACCTCTTGCAGCTTTGAGCACCTGACCTGTTCCTTTATTGAAGGCCATGCAGGGATGGAGTTAGATTGGGATTGCATCCTCGGAGCAGATCCACACATACGGGACATCGCTGGGCTCGCTCTCCTAACCTGCAGCATGAAAGTGCACAAGGGTGGGCTGTGCCTCACTATTCCAGCTCCCGAGAGCATGGGGTCATGAGTGAGTGCATACCCTGCCCTCTCTGAGTTGGAGGGATGATACCAGGAAAGAAGTAAGAACTGGCCTTCAAAATTCCTGGCCACCTTGTGACTCATCACAGGCCTCTGACTGCCAGTGCCTGCACTTTGTCTAAGGAAAACTAGTCAACTTTATAAACCTCTGGGCAGATGCAGAGGACCGTTCAGTACTGTGGGGCTTCTTGGAATTGTGATCATTTCTTTGATCTGTAATTTCTAGCACATGCTGTCAGAGTCCCGCCCATCTCCCCTCACCAGCAGCACTTCAGTGTGTGCCAGATGACACCCAACACTAGCACCTGTAATTCTTGGCTTTCACTAGATGCCGTAGCCCAGAGATAGGCTCCCTTGGGATGGGGTAAGGGGTGTTAATTCCCTGGCACTTTCAGACTCCTGTAAGGGCAGGCAAAGTGGGCTTCAGCACTTGACACATGTCCCCTTCCATAGTCCCCCAGTGCACTCTGGGGTGTCTCCAGTTCACAAAAGCACCAGACTTCCCTGGGATCAGTATGAATCCTGAAGGGGCTTCACAGAGGTTGGAATCAAGTATCAATCCTCGATACTCCCAGCCTAAAAGTTGGCCTGATTCTAAGAGACCCATGTCTCAGCATTCATACAGGATGCTTTCAAAAAAGTTATAGTCCCTGCTCATAAGGATGAAGGAACAGAGGCATGAGGCAGAGGCTGGACATTGAGTCATTTCTCTATCCAGTTGGTAGGTTTTGACCACCTACAATGTGTTGGGTGATTCTTAGAAGTTGCCTCAATTTTCACAATAAGTTTGTGACATAGGAATTATTATTATGAGTTTATTATTATTTATTGGGACCCAGAGGAGTTGAGCTAGGAAAACGCAGAGGTAGAATATGGATCCATGTTCAGACCTTGCCAAAAAATGCTGTTGCCTAAGGAGCTAGAACAGGCAGGAAGACAGACCCTCGCTTAATGAACTGTTTGAGAGAAGAGCCGAAAGAAGAATAATGAGGCAGCATCTGCCCTCCAGATCTTAAAACACGATAAAACTCCAATAATTAAAATAGGTGATACTGGCACACAAATTGGACAGGCAAATCAATGAAACAGAGTAGATAGCTCAGAAATAAACCTTATTATATGTAAGAATTTAGTTTGTATAAAAAAGCAACAGACTAATTGGGTAGGAGATGGAATATTTTATACATAATATTGGGAAATTCGTTACAGTTGGATTAAAAAGTTAAATATAAAAATAAAATCATAGAAAGAAGGAAAATCCCCAAGTGTTTTATAATAAACATGCATTACCAGGAAAAAAAAGTGGTTTAAAACTAAAAAGATGAATCAGCTTTGCACATAGCGGGGGTAAGGATTTTTTATATGAATGTAATCTGATGAAGATGCCCGAAATATTTCTTATTTAATCATTCACATATTCATTTATTGAAGAAACATAAATTAAGGATTCCTATGTGCCAGACACTATGCTAAGCATTGACAGCACAAAAGCAAGTGCTCATTTTATTACCTGAAACTCTCCCATTAGTGATTAATTCCTCTTATAAAATATTGCTCTACTTTTTTTCAAAGGAATATTGATGGAGGGGAGGGGAGAATGTTCATTTTGGAGATGGCAGCTACTGGATGCCAAGGTAGTAAAGGTGGAATGCAGGGACACAGTGCAAAGACATTTGCAAAGCGGGATTTTAAAATGTCCCCCAAGATCCCCCAGTTCTTCTGTGCATGACCTACATAATCCCCTTCCCTGAATGTGGGCAGGACCTGTGAGCATAATGGGATATCACCCCATGACCAGGTTGCTGATGAATGCAGAATGCATTGAAAGTCCAGATGACAGATAATATAGATTATCGTGGTAGCAGTGAGGACAGATTTATGGATAACTGAGCAATATCCTGGGTGGGCCTGGCTTAATCAAGTGAGACTTAAGAAGACCGTGAAGTGTCCAAGAGACAAGCTCTGGCTGGCCCGAAAGTGAGCAAACAGCCATGCTGCGAA